TAATCTTTTTGTTAATGGAGTATCTTGCCTTCAATTTGTTAAGAAAAAAAAAGCAACGTCTGTGAAGTGCATGCCTATATAAAAAGTTGTGGCTTGCGTCTTCTCTTGACGAAATGCATGAGGATAATCAGATAAGTTTTGGAAAGGAGTGAATTCCATCATCTTCGCTCTCTTGATTTTTGCAATTTACCCTCATGGTTCATAAGGCCCTAAAGAGAAGAGAAGAAGCAAATACTTCAATTTCACAAATTTACTTCACTATTGTTCCCCAGTTGACTCCCCTTTACTAACTCAGCTAACAAAGATAATTGGTTCACTTGAGTTTAAAGAAGAAAAGAAAAACATTTTCCATTACCTTGTTCTTTCTCTTCTATCACATTTTTCTTCCCTGTTTTTATTAGGTTCATTTCTGTCTCCTCTCTATGTTGGTGTTTAACAGAGATGCTTGCATGGGGGTTTTCAGACATTTTTGCCAAATAGTGTGTATAATGGGACTCCCCATCTTTCCTCAAAGTCTTGAGTGAAGTATCCATTTCTCAGAAATGCTGTGTGGAGGTAGTATTTTGGCCTGTTTCCCGGTGGGTTGGGTCTGGCACAGGGGTGCCCCTGAGGGAGGTCCACTGTACTGCCTAGGGAAAGAGGATTCCACGCACACACACCCTTCCCCCGACCCCATTCAAAGGCCTAACCAGCCCAGGCATTTTTTTTCTCTCCCCAGGGATTAGTAGTGGAAATGTGAAACCAGTGGAGGAGGGCTGACAAAGAAATGGGTATTAACACTGATACTTTGAAAATACAAAGCCTTGCCAAGACTTAAGTCTTTCAGTTGTATTTGAAGATCATCATTTCAGTCAGTAAAAGCACAGTGGTGGAAATTCCAGGATCCTAATCCCCTTTGGCTATACCTATATACCTTCTCATTTTTTTGTTTAAGGTTTTTTTTTCTTTTTTCCCCTCCTGAGAAAACAATGGTAGTTAAAAAATATATATTGTTTTAAAATTGCTTCATGAGGTGAAATTGGGCTGCTTCAAAAAGGAACTGTGGGGGCCATAAATAGTGGGTATTATTGCAGTCAACTCCTGTACCCTCAAACTCAAGGGCACTGACAGAGAGAATTTGAGCCGTTAAGTCACTCTTGAAGAAAACAAAATTATTTATTTGCGTTTCTGTCTCTTCAAACGCTCTGCCTGAAACCATCTGAGGCCACGTGTGATTTTGAAGCTGCATTTGCTGGGCCTTCAGAGGTCCAATGGCCTGCATTTGTAGATTGGTTCCAGTACCAACTCCAACATGGGCGTTGGTGGTGGGTGGCGTGGCAGGGGGACTTTCCAAACAACCACCAAGCAATTCTCAGAAACCATCTACCCACAGACAGCATCAAATTCCACAGACTAAGGGTTCAGTCCTACAAGACTGCCCCTTCCCCAACCCCCAACTTCAGGTGCCAGTCTAGGTCCAGACTGTTACTTATGCTTCTGACTGACTGACTATGAACCAAAGGTTCCCATAACCCCTTCCTTGGGTTCAATTAATTTGCTAGAGTTGCTCACAGAACTCTGAGGAACATTTTACCTACTAGATTTCTGGTTCATTATAAAAGAATATAATTTAGCAACAGCCAGGTAGAGGAGATGCCTAGAGCAAGACGCAGGGAAAGGGCGTGGAGCTTCCATGCTCTCTGTGCCGCTCTCCTTGCACCTCCGTGTGGTGAACCTCCTCCTTTCAGAGACTTTTGGAAGTTTCACTGCATAGACATGATTGATTAACTATGAACTCAACCTCCAGCCCCTCTCTTCCCTCTGAAGGTTGGGAGATGGAATTGAAAGTTTCAACCCTCTGATCACATGATTGGTTCCCCCTACACAAAGCCCCATCCTTAGGTTCTGTCCACAGTCACTCATTGACATAATAAAAGACACCTTTCTTACTTTCGTCACTTAGACCATTCCTAGGGTTTTAAGAGCTCAATGACAAAAAGAGGGACTAATATCAGATATGTATTTCTTCTAAGTCACAATGTTACAATTTGACTCCTGGCTCTCCATCTTCCTAGCTCTGTGATCCTGAGGAGTCACTTCACCTTTCTGTGCATCAGGTCCTCATCCATAAATGCAGCCAATAAGGGTCCCTTTGTCACGGGCATGCAGTGAGTGTCAACATCCACATAACACTCAAAGCTGTAGAGAATTTTTGTGACTTTATTGAGTCAAACTGATGACAATTACAGGGAAGCAAAATCTCAACAGATTGAGAAATGGTACAAAAAATGGCAATTTTGCACCTTACTTTGTATATTGCAATCAAAGGAAAAGGCGTAAGGGAGTTACATGAAATCCATTGGCTATAGATTAGGGAGGCAGGGAAAGCAAAGCAGGGAAACCTCTGGGGTTGGATAGAAAGTGAAGTGATAGACACATACTTCTTTTACATGGCAGGCACAGGATAGCTAACAGTCAACAATTAACACAATAACAATAACGATGAGGGGATGTGTGGACTCTGGTGCGGTGACTGAGCTTTGAGGGGTCCAGACAAAAGTAAATAACTTTATTATTGCAAAAACATGTTTATCAGGTATGTTATACTAGATGCAAAAAGACAACAGGCAGGCTTAGTTAAGGTGAAGGTTGACTTTTCTTAGAGGAAAATACTGCCTTAGGACATGACTACACGCCATGAACTGCTTTTAGTTAAAGTTTTAATTTCAGACCATCCTTTGTGGTTCCTTTAGATCTCTGAGTTTGTAAGGCCTCCACACAGGCCTCCCCGAGCTTGTCAGGTTAATATGTTGCCCCCTTTCTTCCACATGAGGGTAAAATGAGTTAATTCTTTTAAAGCCATTAGAACGGCCTAGTATCTAGTGCTGGACCTTTACTAACACTGGTGCTAAAGGACCCTAACAAAGATTCCTACATACTGTTATAAAACAAAATGCAACTGAGTAATTTTGAAGATCTAATTGGCTTTATTCAATGATTCATGAATTGGGCAGCATCCCATCTAGCAAACAGGAAGGAGCTCTGAGGAGCTGTACAAAATGGAAGGCTTTTCTAGGTAGGAGAGGAAAAAAGAAAGTTTCTAGAGAGGAGTGGATTACTTTGGGCAAGGTCATCTTCCTTCGGGAAAGGGCGGGGGTCTGTGAAGCAGATTATCTTACTAGTGCTGACCAGGTTCATTCCAGATTGATTGAGTAAAGGTCACATTCCTGGTTTAGGCAGAAACTGCAGTTAAGTCTTCGTTTATTTATGCAAGGCTTAGTACAAGGGACACCATTTTGGGCTTGTTGTTAACTTTTTTCCTGCGTGTAAATTCAGGCTAAATAACAGAAGGGAAAGGGGAAGCATGGCTTCTTCTCAAAAGGAAAAAGAACTTTCAAACAGAGGTGATGTGAAGAAGGAAAAAGCTTTCTAGAATCAATTTCTGATGAGGGTGAGGCTCTTCTTGGTGCTCACAGACTAGAGTGTAGGGAATACCTTACACTTTCTCCTTTTCCACGATAATTGGCTCACTTGTTTAAGTGACATTTGCTTTTTGTAGAGCTTGTATAATAACTCAGACTCGGAAGAGTCACGGTTGTACATTTGTAGGGTCTTGGGCCTGAATGCCATTTCAGAAAGCACTGCCTGGCTCTAAGGGTGTCATACACAGCCCCCACCTATGAGCATTGAACCGCACGTGTAGGGTAGCATTTGGAGAAGCTTAGATACGGTAGCTTCTCTCTCTCTCTTTCCCCCACTCCCCCCTCAGTCTTTCACATGTACACTCTCCTGGCCCGTCTCAGCAGCAGCCTCTGGTTTTGGACGCAAGGGCATGTGTTGCATGCAAGCACTTTATAAAGCTGGTTTATTTCCATTATAAATAATCATGAAATTGGTGGTAAAGGAGAAAGATAACCATCTTTTAAGCTACAAAAAGGCAGTGATTCATTTTTAGTCCCTTTATTAAGAAGCCTAGTCTCAGTCAGAGATAATTTGTAGCCAAGTTTTATGCTGGGGCAAGTTTCCTCAGTCATGTTAAATTCATGGGGAAAATCCTCCTAGGATTTAGAACTGAAAAATAGACAGCTTTAATAACAGAAATACTGATGTAAAGAGCAGGGAAAGGCAGCATGTTCTAACCATTTAGGGGGGAAAAATGGGTAAATTGTTACTAATAAGCCCTGCTATATTTTTATCTTACCATTTTTTTTTCATCTAAAGGAATATTGAGAGGAGATTTTAAATTCTGAATGATTATCTAACTCCCATATCTAGAATTATTAGCAAGAGTTTTATTTTGCTATTAACTTTCCTTAAAACTCAGAGGACACAGGATTACCAGAGCCCAGAGGAAGAAATAAAAGCTACACACAAGAAGGCCGTGAACAGGATGCCATAAACAGCTACTTCTAGATTCCCTTTCATAGCCTGTGTGGACAGCGGCTTTCTTATAAAGCGGGGCTGCAGTAGAGATTGGCAGGGCCCTTAGCACCCTCCTCGATGTGGTGCCAATCTATGTCCCATCTCCGCCTCTCACCTTCCACCCCCACTCATCTCACCGCACACCCTGTATTCCAGTTACGCCGAACTGCCCGCTGGTCCCGGATATGCTGCATGTTGAGCCCTCTTCTTTCACCCACCTTTCCTATCTAGGTAAGCTTCGACTCATCTTTTTCTTTTCCCATATTATTATTTTTCTTTTTAAAAACACAGCATTAGCCCTAGCTGGTGTGGCTCAGGTTATTGAGCACCAGCCTGCGAAACAAAGGGTCACCGGTTCAATTCCCAGTGCAAGGCACATGCCTGGGTTGCAGGCCGGGTCCCTAGCAAGGGGTGCGTGAAATGCAACCACACATTGATGTTTCTTCCCCTTTCTTTTTCCCACCCTTTTCCTCTCTAAAAATAAGTAAATAAAATCTTTAAAACACACACACACACACACACACACAGCATTAAAGCCATCCAACATACAGATAGTCCTATGGCTTCTTACACATCTTATTTTATCTAAAGTTAGGTATATAAATATGGAACATTTCACAAATTTGCGTTGTCACCCTTGCACAGGGGCCATGTCAATCTCTGAATCATTCCAATTTTAGTATAGGTGCTGCCAGATCGAGCACGACTCAGCTTTTAACACTTATCTCCAACGTGACTTTATTCCAGAATTTTTTCCAGCCCCAAGCAAAGTTAGTGGCACCTTTTTCTGCTCTTCCATAGTAGCCAGTACCTACTTCGTTGTGTAATTGACTGCAATATTAGTTTACAGTGTCACCCTCCCTAGTAATGGAGAGAGGGCGGGGATTTAATCTTGAAAATCTGTACCCACTAGACCAGGAATCCCTGGCAGCATTATTGACATTTCAAGCTGGAAAACGTTGTGGTTAGGCCTGCCTTGTGCCTTGTAGGATGTTTAACATCATCCCTGGCCTTCACCCCCAGTGTGACAGTTAAAAACTGTCTTCAGACATTGCTCAATGCCTCCTGGGGGACAAAACTGTCCCTGGTTGAGTCACTGCCACAGCTCTGATGCAGAGCCTGATACATAGGTGCTTAATAAATATTTGCTCGTTAATAAATGAATGCCCAATTAATGAATTAAAAACTAAGCAAATTAACAGATGAAAAAATATCTTACAGTAACTTTTAGACACTTACCAAATCAAACTCAAAACCTTCATGCCAGCAGTCAAGTCTCTTTATGAACTGACTTGACTTTCTTCTCTATTTTCTCTCATACTCTTTGCTCCTCACATGTGGGCTCTTCTACATGATCATTCTTTGTTTTCTTCTTGCCAATCCAAACACTGTACTTACTTCAAGACAAAGAACAACTTGTCTCCTTCCAAAAGCCTGCCCCAATTCACCTAATCCAGCAATCTCCTTACTTCACATTCTCTGAATATTTATGAAGTGTCTATGATGGAAAATTATAAGAATATATAAATACATACATATTATATATTATCTGTAATGTATATATAATCCATGTCTGTATTCATGCACATGTATACACATATACATGTATTGTTTTTGGTCTTAGAACTAGTTATGTTTTTGTGTCACAAACTTGTACAAAAACTTTCTTCTCAACTAGAATAATCGCTCTTTAATGGAAAGCTTAGTTGTGCCTTTGAGTTCTTTCTTCCCTTTAGCATCAGCACAAGCTTTATCAACAACAGATACCGAGCTTTTTGCTTGAAGTGAGTTTTTTCTTTAATCAACTGCCAGGTGTGTTAAATCTGTGTAATTTGTGTGGTCCTGACAGAGTTTTGTTTCTAAAAGGCATAGGGCTAACTCTTTAATATCTTGCAGTTTTGAACAAACTCATTTCAATGAGGTTCTGCAAATATAAATGGAAGTAATCTGCAATGTTTTAGGATTTCTGTGAGAAGGCAGTAAATATGATAATGAAAAAGACAAAAATGGCTGCAATTTGTCTTAAATTTGGACTGTGCTTCAACTCCATCTAGGTCTTTTTTCATTGCTTGGTGAAACTATATCAAAAACTTGGGCCTGCCTGGTTGACTCCGAGCTCTCTCAACACCCACGCATCTGTGGCACCCCTCCTTCCTCAGGCAGACTTGCAGTGACCTGTGCATGCATTTTCCCCCATGCCTGTCTTTGGAAATTTGCCCAACTTCTGTCCTCAGGATATTTCTTTCTCACATTTTTCTTGGGAAAGTTCATTTTACACAAGAGTGGTCACCCGGGGGGCTTCTGATCCACCTCACTCAATGGCAGAGCGAAGGCACGACCCCAAACTTTAGCAGCACTGCTTTAGAGCTCCCATTTGTGACAGGATAAATAAAGAGTAGACATACTGGGATGGGGTTGCGTAGGGGAAAACATTCCTGTTTCCAGCATTGATTTTTACAACCCTTAATAAAAAGATGAAAGAATGCTTTTAAGTCTCATAAACTGAGCCTGTTGGCAGGACAGCCTCCTGAGGCTTCAGTCTCTCCGCAGCTCCAAAGGTTCCGGCCTCCGCTGATTCCTCTCTGTACTTTCTGACTCACCCTCTCTCCATGGCTCTCTCCTCCACGCCCACCCATCCGCCTCCCACTAAAAATACAAAACCCAAACTCTTTTCTCTTGACCCTGCCTCCTCTTATGGTACAATCTTGATTTACTCCACCTCATCACCAAACGCGTTGGTCCCCATTTATCACTTCCACAACCTTCTCTCACATTGGTACTCAGTTCACTAAAATCCCCTCATGTTTCACAGCGCACCCACTCTTTCTCAGAACCTAGGACTTCCTAATATTGCCACGTCTTATGGCCCTTCCTCGGTACTCCAGCTCTTTGCTGCAGTTTTTGATGTAACTGACCTGCCCATTTTGATGTAACTGTCCTGGCGTAGCTCTCAGTCTCTTGGTTTTTATCCTTTTGTTCTTTTTCAGACTCCTTGATGATTTTACTGTCCGCTGTAGATGTAGGTCACTTCATTGTTCCATCACCAGCTTTGTTCTCACTCTCCGCCTTAATGCTCTCCCACAGATAACTTCTTATGTTGTCATGTCTTCAAATATCAATCAAATGTAACAGCCATCAAATGCTTCCCATTATCATCCTCTGGAGGTTCCAACCCAAGTTTTCAACCGTCCCCAGGTTTGGCTGTTACCAAGCATCTCAAATGCATCACGGCCACAACCAAATCCAGTTTTCTTCCTACTCCCATGGCTTGCCCCTCTGTTTGTCCTTCTATTAAAGACTATCTATTCCAAGCTAGAAAGAGAATTTTTATCTAACTCATCTGTCTCACTAAATACTAATGGTATTTCTGAAGTCTTGATCTGACTTATTCATGTCCATAGGTGGTCAAAATTGAGTGTTCTCTGTTCTCTCCCTGCTTTTGTGTATCGTTTCTTCTGTGGTAGGAATTCTTTGTGCAAGAACCGGGTCTGATTGCTGCTCTCCTCCCAAAAGTTCCTTGTTCTGCAGACAGTGGAGAACCAAGTCCAAATTAAACTGAAATTCAAAATCCTCCATGACTGTAACCTTAACCATATTCTTCAGAGTCTAATTACTTACCACTTCAATGACAGCAAGGGATGGTCCAGCCCCACCAAACTCTATTTTAGCTCTGCATGTGCTATACACTTTCTTTATCCACCTGGTAAGACCCAACAACAGTGTCAGGACTCAGCTGAAAGCTCCTATGTGAAGCACCCTTATCCTTGGTCTATAAGCAGAATTAATCGCTATCTTCTGTACTTCCACAGCACTTCCCTTATAGTTCCATTATAATACTTTGTAACATGGTTATTTTCATGTTAGTACTCAGCTTAAAATGTCCATGGCCTAGTGGGGAGCACAATGTTATTTTATCCATTTGTTGGCTAGCCATCAATCTGGCTAGATTTTTAAACTTAACACACTCTAGTTCTCCCCAGTGCTAATATTCTATGATTGCAAGTATTATTTAGCTTCTCCCTATAGAGAAAATAGTGTATGTCACAGGGTAAGCACATGATACTGGCATATCATTCATATCTTGACCATTTTCAATTTCTAGCATTCAATAACTTAGTAGGTGCTCAAGGAATGAATTGCAAAAGCACATGAATTAATTCCTAGAAACTGATGGAAGACTGACTTAGGTATAGGAGTAGAGAATAAATCCCTGTCTTTCAACTTTTAAAAATTACTTCCTTAAAATAATTGTACTGAACTAAACTTCTGCAGCAATTGAAATTGCTTCCTTTGACTGCTACAGGTAATTATGAGTTACATATATTATATGCAGAGTTCTCTACTCTACAAAGCATTTCCTGAACAATACAAATGAGCACATGCTGGCATGCTTACAGCAGTCAGGTTGGGGCAGCAGCAAGCTAGTCATCCTAGAGAAGATAGTCCTAGTAGCCTGTATAGAATAGATTCTGAAGTAGCCTGAGACCATTACTGCAAGGACCTCGACAAGTACTTACCTTTCCCAACCGGCAACTAAATCAGCAACATCATCTGATTTAAATTGTTAACTTCCAACTTCACCACTTCCTTCCTTCTCCAAACTTCCCAATCCTTTCCCCAATTTTATTTTATTTTTTTATATCATTACCTCATTTTCACTTACATTCCAATCCTATAACCAGAAAACAAAGAAGAGTGAATAACTGGATATATATTCTCCGGTTAGGGCGAATACCTTAAACGTTTTCAAGTTTTCATAGAGGATCAAATTAGACACCAACTAGGATATTGTCAATGCTCTTTTCTTTTATATAAACTAAATGGGCTTAAAAAACAGTAACAGTGATGATACAACACCTGCATTTGCTTTCAAGTCTTTATTCTCCTGAATATAAAAGACAGAAGTCCTCTTAGGATATAACAGAGTTCTTTATGTGGAAACATTATTTTTTTACAAGTGAAAAAATAAATACCTTTTGGAATAAAGGCTTATATGCTAATTATGTGCCATAAAAAAGTAGAGTTTTAATATCTGACAAAATGTCTGTGCAAAGAAACAAATGCATAAACACATTACTGCTACATTAAGGCAATATGAAAAGTATACTCAGAAATCTCAGTAAAGTGACAGTGTAGCTTTCTAGCTTAAAGTTAGCTAGTATTGCACCCAATACAGTCGTCTGGGTTTCCCGAAGTCCTAGAAAACCCACAAGCTGACCAACATCCAAAATGCCCAAGTGGGAGTGGAAAACATGATTAAGAATATAGAAACAAAAAACCCAAAACCCCTCTAAGACACAGAGAGGGGACGACCAAAAGTTAATACTTAAGCACTTACCCAAAAAAGCATACAATATCTAGATACCTATAATAAGGCTGTACAAGGCTTGATGGCTCAAGCAAAAGTGACCCCACTGGGTGAAGCTGGGATAGAGTGCTTGGGAGAACTGAAGAACTGCCCCTGTTTGTATACCAGGAAGCCTCCTCAGTGAGCAACACTCTCCCTTCCCAAGGAACATGCTCCTTTTCAATCTTAAAATAAAACATTCTACCAACTCAAGAGGCCCAAGGAGTGCTCATTACTCCACTGAAGTCGTTTAACCACATTGGTAGCATCTTACAATTGAAAGGCTTGGGGGTAAGGAAAGGGATGGGAAAAGGAACAGGAAGCCGCCCGCACTGAGTTATTTGTTTTCCACCAGGC